GTCCCTGTACTGGAGGAATATTCGAATATAATCAAAAAATATGCCGGACACAATTTCCTGGCTTTTTTTTTTGTTGTTGTTGTTGTTGACTACTTTTGTTTTTCCGTCCCGAATCCGCCTGTAGGAGGACACGCCCGACCTAAGTTTAGGCCCGTGGAGCGGCCTGGAGGGCGCCTTCGGGTCACAGCTCTTGGCGCCTCGTGGGGCTGGTCTGCCAGGGCTGACCTGCCTGGTCGGCGCGCGTGGCCGCGGTTGCCGTAACCGTCATCTTCCCCGTCCTTGTCCTGTCTCTCCCGTTCCTCTTCCTCTTCCACACTCTTGTGTTGCTCAGTGCGTACCCGCGCAAGTAGCCAGTCTTCTTCGTCCAGTGAATGGGGGGGTCCGCCACAGGAGGTTCGCGATGGGTGCTGGATGCTCTGTGCATGGCTCATGTACTGCCCAGTCGAATGGGCGGTCCAGGCACAAGCATCATGAAATCCATGCGATGCATAACACAACATGTGAGTTCACATTCTAGGCGAACGCTGCATGTGAATTCCCCTTTGGTCGAACGCAAACTTTGAATGCATATATGGGAAAGATGCAGAATCTGAATTCACAGCCACAAACGTTGGTCGTATGCTAGATTAGTAGACCGAACATGTGATTTCGGATTCGCGGACAAGAACAATATGTGAATTCATATGTTGGGAGAACGCAACATATGAATTACATGTTGGAACATAGCACTCACCTTTCAATGCACCTTGGGTAATTGTCCGGAACGTAGCGACGAAGGCATTGATGGCTGGGCGATGCGTTGCCGCTAACGGACACTGCTCGAGCGTCGCATTTCTGCCTCAACATGCTCACGCGTATTGGATGTCAACCATGCTAGAGCACTTGAATGAGCGGTACAGAAGAAATTAAACTATCAATTCGCACCAATTGCGAAACCCCAGTGTTGGACCTCCCCATTCACCCTCCAAGTATTCGCAAGTTTCTGCAGCTGCCTGTGGCAAATCCGTCACCGTGCTAACGAAGCACTCTGTGTGGTGGCCTTTCGACCACCACCTACAAGGCTGTCACATGTGGCACTTCTCGTCTTGATTTTCTGAGGGGGCTTCCTTGGGCCGTGTCGGGGCTGTCTTGGATACCTGTCGGGCAGTCTTGCGGGGCCCTGGGGGCCCTCTTGTCTTGTCCAACATGTGCGCAGCCTTTCTCTACAGTACGGTATGTTGATGACTTGTTGCTTGGGTCTTGACGGTTATGCAGGCCATGCCTCCTGCGCCTGCGCGTCGTGCCCGCTGTCTGTGCCGATGCGGTTTCGCTGGATGCTGGCACCTCCTGGTAAGTGCACGGCGGAGTCGTTTTGCAAGGATTATCGGATGACATTTTTTTCGTGGGATGGTTTCAGCGTTCGTTTCGAACGCCCTGCGATGCAGGTTGCCTTTTCAGCGAATTTGGCTAAGATCAAGAAGCGACTGCTTCAGCCGTCACCAGGGCTCGCCTCGACAGGATACTCTCAGTACCAATGCGGTGTGCTCGTAGGTCATCTTCGGCAATGTGTGGTTCGTTGCTGCACTCTACTGCTACATAGTATGTTTCCAGCGCAACGGGTACTACCACTGGTACTTCCAGGCATAGCTCACGGTTTTGCCGCTACGTTCAGATTTGTTGACAGTGGTCGGCGTCGTTTGGCAATTAGACTACATGAGTCGCTGGTGAAGCCCCCAATCTCAAGGCCAAATGCTTACTACAGTGTTATCTCTCGGGCTGCTGGCTGATGTTTTGCAAAACTGGTTGAGGACACATTAGCATGTGTGATGCACAACACGCCTCTCGAAAGTGAGGCCGCCAAGCTAGTCATGGCTGGGATCCAATTCACTGCTGCACGTCTTCATATCGCACGTATTTGGTGCAGGACCACAAGCACGAGTTACAGTGCACATGTGGGCTTCGTATTCGTCGTTTGGTCCGCCCTTTCGTGGGAAGATTCTCTAACTTTCAGAGTAGAAGGTGAATGTGTACGTGGGTCGTGAGGTGTCATATCGGTGATTCGGGGTATGGTTTCTGTAGTCCGTATCTCAATCTCTCAATTCAGGGATCCACTGAGCTGTCGCTGCCATGCCCCCAGTGCGCGCTCAAATAGTACAACAGGCGTGACCCCTGGTAAGGAGAGCTTGCTCCAATACCCTGCGAGACAGGTAGTGAGTCAATCGTTTGCTGATCAGGAGCTCCTCCTCGTCGTGGTCATGCTCCTTCGTTAGTGTGCTCACTTTCCTCTTATCCTTTTCGAAGTCGGCATTTTCAGATTTTGACCTTATGCAACTCCCGCTCATCCCTTTCCTCCTCATCCACTGCTCTGCTTCTCAGCCATCCCGCTCGCCAGCTCGCCTGCCCCCGCCCCTCGTCCCTCGTCCCCCCGTACCCAGCCCCCCTCCCCCTCCCTCCGTTCCCCCCTCTGCCTCCCCCTCTTTTCTCCTGTCGCCCCCTCTCATCCTCCTCGTTCCAGCTTCCCCTTCGCCCTCCTCTGTCCTCCCTGTCCTGCCTGTCCCCCCCCTCCTCCTCCTCCTCCTCCTCCTCCTCCTCCTCCTCCTCCTCCTCCTCCTCCTAGAGGGCCTCCAGCGGCCGCGGCCAACAGGCTTGTTGCGGCGTCGTCGCAGCCTGCGCGTGCCTCCATCTGGGCGGGGGAGGAGGGGGGGAAAGGAGCAGGACGAGGGGGAGAAGGAGGAGGAAGAGGAGGAGGATTGAGGAGAAGAAGGCGGAAGGGGGAGGAGGCATTGATGACGACGTCGACGACGACCACGACGAAGACGACGGCGACGACGACGGCGACGATGACGATTGTGCTGACGACGATGATGATGATGCCGACGACGGCGACGACGATGATGATGATGATGGTGGTGGTGGTGCTGATGATGATTTTGTCGATGATGAGGATGATGAGGATGCTGACACTGATGGCGACGATGATTTAGAGGATGACGACGGCGGCCATCATGATGATGAAGACGATGATGATGCTGCTGATGATGGTGATGACGCTGATGATGTTGATGACGACGACGCTGATGATGAAGATGCGGATGATGATGCCGATGACGATGTTGGCGATGATGACGACGACTACGACGGTGGCGGTGATGCTGACACTATCGATGATGCTAACGACGATGATGAAAATGTTAATGATCACGGCGACGGTGATACGACTACAACTGCGATGACGACGAGGATGATGATGGTGATGATTGTGCTGACGATGGTGGTGACGACGATGACATGGACGACGACCATGACGATGACGATGATGATGGTGATGCTGCTGCTGATGATGATGTTGGTGATGATTCTGCTGCTGCTGATGATGATTATGATGATAGTTGTGGCGACTGTGATATTGATGACGATGATTATGAGGATGATGATGATGATGATGATGATGATGATGATGATGCTGGGTTCCGATGATCATGATGATGCTGGGTTCCGATGATCCGGCAACGTGGCCGGAGACACCACGGCGGCCAGCGCAAGCGCTGGGACGACGACCTCATCAGCTTCCTTCAAGAACACCGACCCGACCTACACCCAGCGCCCACGCCAACCAACGAGCAGGGCAAGCCGAACGACCTCACTTGGGTTCGCTCAGCTCAAGACACCACCACGTGGTCGACACTCGAACACAAATACATCAGCACGTCGCCGACATTCACAACCAGGACTTCCTCCTCCTCTCCTCCTCCGTCATAACTTTTTGTGTGTTGCACCGAATCATGTATTGTGTGTCTCGCAGTTCCTGTGCATGTCTCTATGTTTACAGGAGGCCATGGCCTCACCCACCTGGTCTGAGCAGGCCCGGACAGCTGTCCGATGTGGTGGTTCGTTCGTTCGTTCTATGTTGTTGTTGTTGTTGTTGTTGTTGTTGTTGTTGTTGTTGTTGTTGTTGTTGTTGTTTTGATTGTGGCTGTTGTGGATGTGGTTGTTGATTTTATTTTGTTCTTGTTGAGTAGTAATACGATGATGGTTCTGATGATGCTGATGCTGATGACGATGATGCTGTGCTGATGCAGATGATGACGACGATGACGATGACGATGAGGGTGCGGATTCTGATGATGATGATGCAGATGATGATGCAGATGATGATGATGATGATGATGATGATGATGATGATGATGATGATGATGATGATGATGATGATGACGATGATTATGATGACGATGATGATGACGATGATGATGACGATGATGCTGCTGCTGCTTATGATGATGATGCGGATGATGGTGATGATGATGACGCTGATGATGCTGATGATGATGGTGCTGCTGATGATGATGCGGATGATTTTGATGATGGTGCTACTGATGGTGATATTGATGATGGTGCACATGATCATGCTGCTGCTGATGATGATGCTAACGACGACGATGATGATGATGATGATGATGATGATGATGATGATGATCATGATGATGGTGATGAATATTATGGTGGTGATGATGATGCTGATGATGATGCTAATGATGCTGCCGATGATGGTAATGCTGCTGCTGCTGATGCTGATGCTGATGATGATGATGATGATGATGATGATGGTGATGGCGATGAGGATGATGCTGATGCTGATAATGATAATGACGGTGACGATGACGATGATGATGACGACGATGATGCTGATGATGCTGATGATGATGATGATGATGATGATGATGATGATGATGATGATGATGATGATGATTATGATAATTGATGACGGATGATGGCAGAGATGAGGACCAGGAGTGGAGTCGGATGAGAGAGGAGGCGGGGGAGCATGCAAGAGCATGACCTTCCTGCCCGTCCCTCCTCCCCCTCCCTCCCGCTGCTGACCCTCTTCCTCCGCCTCCCTCCGCCCCCGTCGGCCTCCCTCTGCCCAAGCCACTCCTCGGAGGCCGCGCCCGCGTCCCGCTCGGATCCTGCCCTCGGCCGGTCCTCGCCGCTCGGCGCTCCCACCCCGAGCGCGCGGGCGCGAGGAGAGCCGCTGCCGCGTTGCAAGCCCGCCATGTGGGTAGCGGACGCGGTGCCCGACGAGGCGGGGGTGTCCTCCTCCTCCTCCTCCTCCTCCTCCTCCTCCGCCTCCATCCTACTCGATCCTCCCTCCTAGTCCATCCTCCCTCGGCCTCCTCTTCATCCCTCCTCCTCCTCCTCCTCCTCTTCTCCCTTTCCTCCTCCTCCTCCTGCCTGAAAGCTCCTCCTTCTCCCCCTGCGTTTCCGCCTCCTCCGTCAACGATGACGACGGAAAATGCGAGAATATGAAGGCGGCGGGCGGTGGCGAACCCCTGCCAAAACTCTTCTGGCGTCCAGCGGGGGAGCAGGATGAGGAGGAGCGTGGGATGAAGGCCGCCAGCGCCAGCGTTGAGGCGCCACGGAGGAGTATGAGGTATGAGGAGGAGCTGGTGGTTTTGGGACATCTTTTGGCTTTTCAGCGAAGTGGTCGAGGGTTCCCAGCCGCTCCTGCTCGCCTCCCCCCATCCCCCGCGCTCCTCCCTCCCCTGCCCCCGCCCCTCGGCCGACAGGTGGCGGGCCCCCGTGTCGGCTGGGAGGAGGGAGGGCACGGGGAGGCGAGGGGGAGGCGAGGGGAGGGCGGAGGGAGGGCGAAGGGAGGCGGGGGGAGGCGGGGGGAGGGAGGAAGGCGAGGGGAGGCGCAGGGAGGTGGAGGGAGGCGACGGGGAGGCGAAGGGAGGCGGGGTGAGGGAGGAAGGCGAGGGAGGCGTAGGGAGACGAGGGGGGGATCGGGGAGGGAGGCGAAGGGAGGCCCCTCCCTCTCCCGCTCGCTCGCCCCTGCTCCTCCTCCTCCTCCTCCTCCTCCTCCTCCTCCTCCGTCCTCATCCCTGGCCCTGCTTGCTCCTTGGCCGCCCCACGCGATGGCGGAGCTGCGGCCGAGGTGCCCGTTCGGGTGGCAGGGTTCAGCAGCCAGGGCGACGCTAAACCAGCATCTGCAGTTCATCTGGCACGCCTCGTTGGGGGGCTGGAGTTGCGTAGACGACTAGCGACGTCGAGCAGGGCCCGCCCCTTGCCGGTCGCGGCGGAGTGCCAATTGCCAGGGCCTCTGGCGCCTCGGGCAGGGGCAGGGCGGCCGACATGTTCGAGCAAGCTCGACCTCTCGGGGGTCCCGCCCTGGAGCTCGGGGCCCGCGGAGTACGACCCGCGGCACGAGATTCATGCCAACGATGGGATCGGCATGCGTGCGCGATTGCACGACAGCGGATATCATAAGGGCTGCGACCTGCGGCTGGGCATTTGCTGCGAGCTTTTGTCTGAGGGCGTGTCGAGGCCGCAGGAGCCCTTGTGAATTCAGTCGGCTCAAGCGAGTCGATGCGCCCGTGGCTGGCCTTCAGACGTGCCCAGATCAGGGACGTGCATGCGCATTCAGTGGAACAGATAGATGAGTCAGCCGTTAAGCCGAAGCTCGGAGTTAGCCTGAGCATACACATGAGTGGAATTGCAGATTTTGGTGTCGAAGGAGGAGGATGATGCGGAGGTTGGGGGGAGGAGGATGAAGAGGGAGGTGGGCGGAGGAGGAGGAGAAGGAGAACGATGAGGAAGATGCGGAGGTGAGGGGGAGGAGGAGGAGGAGGAGGAGGAGGAGGAGGAGGAGGAGGAGAAGGGGGAGGAGGAGGAGGAGGAGGAGGAGGAGGAGGAGGAGGAGGAGAGGAGGAGGAGGAGGAGGGAGAGGAGGAGGAGAGGTGGAGGAGGAGGAGGGAGGAGGAGGAGGAGGAGGAGGAGGAGGAGGAGGATGCGGAGCAGGATGATGAGGAGGAAGAGGACGAGAAAAATTATCGCCTGAAGAAGGTGGAAGATGAAGAGGGCGACGACGACATTAACGAGGGCTACGAGCATGAGGACGACGACGGCACGAGTCAACCATCAAGCCCTTCGTGGATTCTGCAATCTAAGAGTCTCTGACGCCTCTTTGTTCTTCTCAGAGCCCTCTGGAGGCCATTCTGGTAGCTTTCGGAGCTTCCTTGGGGCCTTTTTGGGGGCTGCGTGGGTCCTGTTGGGGCCATCTTGGACGGCATCGATCAAAGAAGAGGGGGTCCCTGATTAGCGCTGCCCCTCTGGAGTCTGACAACTGGCCTCTTGGGGACCTCTTGAGGCGCTCTTGGGCGCTTTCGGGCAGGCCTCAAGAGCCCGTCGGAAGCGAACAGAAGATAAGGCACACATCATCTGCAATCCGTCGGTTTTGAAAGGGTTTAGGCCTTTCGGGGTCCTTGGTAGGCTCCGTGGCCAGTTGAAGCCGTCTGGAAGCGGTCTTGGGGCCTCTTAGAGGCTTGTTGGAAGCTATATCTGGAGCCATCTTGGAGCCATCTTGGGCCATCTCGGACGCTCTGGCAGCTCGGGGATTCTCCATCCAGACCTACGGGAGGGGGTTCGGTGATGGGTCAAGGTGCCCCCGTGAGGACGGGCGTCAGGTTCCCAGCGGGAACAGCCGGGAACGCTGCAAGTTGTCTCGCTCGCTCCCAGGGGCCATCCCACAATGTGAACTTCATAAGACGAGGAGGAGGAGGAGGAGGAGCAGGAGGAGGAGGAGGAGGAGGAGGAGGAAGAGGAGGAGGAGGACGACGACGATGACGACGACGATGACGTCTCAGCATAGGATAAACAACCATCGGGAACCAATGCAGACTTGAGCCTGGTGCCCGACGCCCGCGAGGTTTGCCGCGCGTGCCGGGTGCGCCAGGTGTCCACGTGGACCCAAGCGTGCCAGGCACGCCTGGCGCGCCAGATGCGCCAGGGGGAGGGGTGAACCCCTCCCCCGAAGGGGAAGAAGGGGGGGTGGAAGAGGAAACTCCCTAAACCACCTACGCCCAGAGGGCTGATGGGATTCAAAGTGACGGCGGGGCAGCCAACATTCTAGTGTGTGTGTGTGTGTTCACTCGTGATCGCTCGGCATGGTTTTTTGTTGATAGGGATGGTGGGCCTGCGCGCAGCGGGGGCAATATGATGACACCCCCGCCGTCCCTGCCATAACAGCACTGCAAAACGATCGCGGTACGCCTGGACATTGCGGAAAGTGCATTTTGGTCTGTTTTGTTGCAGGGATGATTGAGGGGTTGGCATCAGTACTGATCGGTCGCCGGTCGATTGGGAGCAGGGTTGCTTATTAACAAAGAGCAGTGGTAAATCTCGCCCCAAAGGGGAATGTTGGGGGTTGAGGAACCGCCTCGCACGTCTGTGCGCAGAGGGCGGGTGGAATTAGTCGCGGACTGCGGACTCGTAGTGGTAGTCACGAGTATTTCGCATGATCTTCAACGTTAGGAGTCGTGTGCAGCACGCGCACTATCTAGATCCGAGGGGTCGGGGATCTCACAACATTTCCGTCTGGAAACTCCTGCTCCAGAGGTTCGCTCCGCCACCCTCCACGAGGCGTGTTCCTTCTCCGTCACCCTCGCGGCGCGGACCATGGTTGAGTGTATGGTGGCGGATACCAGAAAGGTCGCGAAGGGGGATGGGGGCAGGATAGGGAGGGGCAGGGAGGGTAGCAGATGAGAGAGAAGGGAAAAGGCGAGGAGATACAGGGGAAGGCAAGTTAGTTACGCTCGCGCCATATCTGACATCCTTCACGTATTCCTGCCCCTTGCGCTACAAGTCTTCTGTATCTGTGGGGTGTCCAAGAGGAGCATGACGAGAAAGGAGGAGGAGGAGGAGGAGGAGGAGGAGGAGGAGGAGGATCAGCAGCAGCATTAGCAGGAGTGGCAGGAGGCGAAACAAAAGGAGCAGGAGGAGCAGCCGAAGGCGGAGGCGGGGCCGAGGCGGGGAGGGGGCGGCCACGCCGAGGAGGCACTCGGATCCAGACATGCGGCTCGCGCCAGGGTGCGAGAGCGCCACCGTGCACGACGGAAGCCGCGCAACCGATCCTGCAGCCCGCCCAGCGCTGCAGCAGGAGCCCCGCGCTCGAGCAGGGCCGAGAGCGCTCCGATCGGACGGGGCCCCAGGGAGCAGGACATCGGGAAATCCTCAGTGTCGGGGGGCAGAGGAGCGCGGGGCGCACCCTGCTGGTCGCGCAGGGGGCTTCGGGGTCTGCAGGGGGAGCCTCGGCGCGCTCCCCGCTGGAAGGGCAGGCCCCGCCTCCGAGGGCACCGGCTCCTGCCCCGGGGTCGCTCCTGGCGACTCCGCGCCTCGGGAGCCGCTCCTCTCTGGTCGCCCGCCCCGCCGCCGCCCTCTGCAGCCACCCCCTCGCACTCCTGCGCCGTGCCCGGCTCCTCTGTTCACGTGCCGCCTTGATGCCGCCACGTGCCGTTGCATCTTCACCGCCTGCCGCCGGGCCCTCTCTGACCGCGCGCCCTCCCCCTCCCTCGGCCGCGCCGTGGGCCCAGGCGCTGAGGGGGAGCCAGATCCGCGACTGCAACCCGGCGCCACCCTCGATGCCTTCCCTCGCGTGCCTGCCTGCATTTCGCGAACGGTTGCTGCCTCTGACAGCAGTGTCGCCCCAGCCTGCAGATTGAGTGCGCTTGCGGACTCCAGTGTGTGTGTGTGTGTGTGTGTATATATATGCATATAAATGTGTGCGTGAAGTCGGTGTATTGGTGACTGATTTGCAGAGCTCTGGCATTGCAAAGCCCCTGTTGACAGGGTGGCCTCTTCAAAGCCGTCTTGGCTGAGAGGACGTCGGCATCGTTAGATCCTGCTGATCCCTTCACATCTCGGAGGCCTGGAAATGGGCACCAACACTAACACACGGGCATGCCTCAACCGAGGGAAGATTATCCTTGAATCCGGTTTGGGTGGTAATACTTCGGCCACCAAAGGAGCCAAAATTGTTACCACCATCACCGAGATCGGGAATGCCTTCCCTCGGTGGAGACTCATCGCCGATATTGGTGTTGGTGTCAACCTCAAGGTCTCCCAATATCCTCCCTCTCCGTGTTCTCCTCTCTGTGCAGCTCCTCCTTGGGCGTGTCAGGGCAGCACATGCCGCCCCGCAGTGCGGACAGAGATGCGTCGGTCGGGGGTGTCCCCAGGAGGGAGAGAGTGGGAGAGAGAAAGAGAGAGAGAGAGAGAAAACGAGAGAGAGAGAGATAATCCATGAAAGAGGAGGCGGATGAGGAGGAGGGGAGGAGGGATGGGAGGGGGGACGAGGAGGAGCTGCAGTAGGAAAAGAAGAGAGGTGGATGAGGATGGGGATGGGGGAGGGGGGAGAGAGCTGGGAGGAGGACGAGGGCAGGAGGACTGGGATGATGATGATGATGATGATGATGATGGTGGTGGTGGTGGTGGTGGTGGTGATGATGATGATGATGATGATGATGATGGTGGTGGTGGTGGTGGTGGTGGTGGTGGTGATGATGATGATGATGATGATGATGCTGATGGTGATGATGAAGATGATGCTGATGATGGGGATTATGGTGATATTGATGGTGATGATGATGGTGGTGTTGGTTTTGATGGTGGTGATTATGGTGGTGATGCTGGTGGTGATGAGGATGATGATGAGGTCAAGGAGGAAGAGGAGGAGAAGCTGGAGGACGAGGATGAGAAGTAGCGAGGAGAGAGGTATGAGGAGGAAAACGATTGGCTCTCCTCCCACCCTTGGTCTTCGTCGTCGTCGCCGCGGCCGTCCTCCACCTCCGCCACCTCCTCTCTCCACTTCTTCGTCCGAGAAGTCTTCGGAGTAGGAGCAGGATGGGAAGGACCTGGCCCCAGGCAGAGGTCACCGCCGCCGCCGCCACCGCCGCCGCCGCCGTCGTCGACGTCGTCATCGTCGTCGTCGTCGTCGTCGTCGTTGTCATCGTCATCGTCGTCGTCGTCGTCGTCGTCGTCGTCGTCGTCGTCGTCGTCGTCGTCATCGTCGTCGTTTCACAACACGTCGACGAAAACCGACGTCTCCCGAGAGAGGCCAGCTCCAGTTTGCAGACCCAAGACGGGAACATGACGCTACTGTCGTCGTGGCCTGTCGTCGTCGCCGTCGCCGCCCGTCGCCGCCGCCGCCCTCGCTGCTGTCGCCGCCGCCGTCGTCGTCATCGCCTCAGGTGTCGCGGCTCGCCGTCGTGGTTGCGCTACCGTCGGCGTTGAAGTGCGCTGCAGCCGCGTCTGGTTAGCAGGCAGCCCTACGGAATCGAGGGCGCTCTCCTGTCCCGTCCACCGCGTCTGGTGTCCTCCTCATGACTGGAGAGGGTGCGGCCCTGGGAGGAGCCAGGTGTCCTCTCGGGCGTCCCCTGCAGTCGGTCTCGACTGCTTCGTCGGCGCTGTCGTCGTCGTCGTCGTCGTGGCTCCTCGGCGCGGTGCCTTCGTGGCAGGCACCGTTCAGCACCGGGGCGACGTCCGCCTGGTCGCGCATCCGCACGCCCTCCCCGGAGGTGGCCTACCGCCCTTCGGAGGAGAGGCGCGCCCAGGACCCCGGAGCAGGGGGAGGGGGATGGGGGGGAAGGGGGAGAGGGGGGGGGGAGGGAGAGTGCCGCGCGCAGAGGAGGGGGCGCGGAGGAGGGGGGAGGGGGCGGGATAGGGGGGGGGGAGGGGGAAGGGGGGGGAGGGGGATGGGGGGGAAGGGCGGGGGGGTTAGGGGGTGGGGGTGGGGGGGAGGAGTGTCGCGCGCAGAGGAGGAAGCGCGGAGGAGGGGGGAGGGGGGGGGGGGCGGGGATCGGGGGAAGAGAACTATCGAGCCGTAAGGGACGGGGGTCCGGGGGTCAGCCAGAGCGCCGGATCTCGCAGGATCGCGCAGAGCCAGGGATGCGTTGACCCAGCTTAGCGCTCAGGATGCGGCAGATCCTAAAAGCCTGGCTGACCCGGGTTTGTATTGACCCGGGCCAGTAGAAGCCCGAGGGGGGGGGGAGGGGTAGGGGAAGGGCCAGGGGCGTCACGCGCAGATCCGCTTCCAGCAGGACTGGCGAGGGGCAAAACATGCGCGGGGCCCAGGCTGATCGCCATTTTCGGGCGAAAGCAGTGATATCGAGGACGGCATTTCGTTCCTGCGACGTATTTCTCAAGGCCGATTACAAACCGTCGATGCTTCAAGGGAAACGCGTAGAGTTTTGAACCAGGAGGCTTACGCCATTCCGCCGACCTCAAGAATTGGAGATGCACGGCATCTGGTTCGATCTGTGTTGTTTGCCGTTTTCCGTCGTGCTGCCTGCGAGTAGTTGTTGCTGATACGTCGTCATCTTCTTCCGCATCTGTTGCGTGGCTTCTTGGGGGCAATCGCGCATGCCTCGGGGGCGGGGCGCTATTCGTGCTCTAGGGCCCTCTGGAGGCTTCTCGGGGGCCTCCTGGGGGCTCCTCGGGGGCCTGTTGGAGGCACGTTGGGGGGCTGAGGGGCCTTCCTGTGGGGGCGGGCTCGCTGGCCCCCTACGAGTTCCCCCTCTTGAGTTTCGCGCGCGACGCATTTGCAATGCCGACTACAGACCGTCCATGTAGACAGGAGGGCACGGGCAGTGTTTGCTGTTCCCAACCCTCCTGTGTTGCACACGCGTCTTGAGTAGACTTCTGCTGACAAGGCGCTGACCTGTACCTCGACCGTGCTGCGTGAGCTCCTCGCCGATGAGCGAGCGGCCTCGCCTGCGCGTGAGGAGGGATGCATCCCCCCGTGTGGGGGCGGAGGGCGGCCCGCTCTGCGATGAGGCAGCACGCTTTGTGAGGCAGCCCTCTCGCGCGGGTTCGCTTCTCTGCCCTCCATGGCTCCGTGGCTCGTTCCTCCCTGCGGCCTCCTGCTTACTGCCTGCCGCCCGCCTCCCACGTCGCCATCCTGGAGGCTGCGAGCTGCTGCCAACCTGCGAAGCCGCTGCCAGTTCCGTGAGCTTCTGCGGGGGCTCCACGGATTCTGGTCGCGTGCGGGCCCAGGTTTGACATCGCCTCGCTGGGCGGTGCCGGCCGCGCGGCTCTCGTCAGTCTCGTGTCGCGTTGCCTGGGTGGTGCGTGCACAGGTCTGACAAGGCGCCCCATGATACGGAGCCACCCGACTATTCCGCAACAGAAGAATGTTCAGGCGTTTGAGTCGTGCGTAGTAGATGATCATCTAAACGATCGTCTTTCAGTCTGCGTGCTTCGTATTTCAATAGGCAGGACGCACGCTGTTTGGACGCGTTTCAGGCATGGTGCTTGCGCACACTTTTTGTTTCCTTTCGTCATATATCAGCAGAATCTCGATTGAAGCCGTGCTTCAGCGGGCCAACACCCGCCCGCTTAGCAACGCGCTCCTCCACAGGTAGCTTCATTTTCTAAGTGGCATCGCCAGAAAACATGTAGCGATGCTGTGCGGTGCACAGTGCTTCAGTCGTTTTCCTCTCTCCCTCTCCCCCCTCCCTCCTACAGAAGAAAAGCTGGCGCCCACGAGCAAAGTGACCCCAGGAAATTTACAGGCACGCCTGCGAAGCAGCTGGGGGTGAGGAAGCCTTCACGGCGCTATGGCAGGGTACCGTTCCTTCGGCCACAGCGTGGCGGGTCGTCGTCAGTAATATTTGCGAACCCACGTGCTAGTTTGTATGTGCTCATGTGCGTCTCGAGCATTTTGTTTGTTGCTTTTGGGTTCCAGCGGGCTGCTGTCATACACGGACCCAGCCGGGCCCTCGCTTTTTTGGGTGGTACCAGTTGCGCACCCGTCACAGCTTTCGTGAACCTGTACGGGGGGTGTTCCAGCGGAGTGCGGCCTTTCGTGGAACCCGAGATTACCTCCCTCGCTCGGTGAGGGCATTTGCGCATGTGTCGCGATTTTGGTGAGCCCATCGGGGGGCCAAAGAGGGGGAGGATGGAGGAGAAACCGGAGGAGCAGGAGGAGGAGGAGGAGGAGGAGGAATAGGAGGAGAAGGAGGAGGAGGAGGGATGTGTGGACTGTGGATGATGACGACGATGATGATGATGCTGCGGCTGATGATGATTATTATGATGATACTGCTGCTGATGATGTTGCTGCTGCTGCTGCTGATGATGATGATGCTGATGATGATGATGATGATGATGATGATGATGATGATGATGGTAGTGGTGGTGGTGGTGAGTAGCAGGAGGAGGAGGAGGAGGAGGAGGAGGAAGAAGAGGAGGAGGATGTGGGCGAGCAGAAAAGCCAGAAGCTTCTTGGATGCTTCTCGGAGTCTCTTCGGATTTCTTCTGAGCGCTTCTTGGAGTCCTCTTTGGGTGTCTTGGGGTCTCGTGGCAGTCCCGGTGGCCTTTTGGGGCGTCTTGGGTGCCTCTGGGGAGCCTCTTTGAGCCTCTCGGGAGTCTCTTGGGAGCCTCTGGCGGGCCTCTTGGGGGCCTCTTGGGGCCTCTTTGGGGCCTCTTGGGGGCCTCTTGTGGCCTCCTGGACACCTCCTGGGGCAGTCTTAGGGTAATCTTGGGAGACTCGGGGGCGAGGAGATCAATCCAAGGAGGGAGGCTCCTGAATTAGGGTCCCCCGCCCCAGGAGGCCAACATGTGGTCCAAACCTCGGTAGAATCAATGATTGTGGCCTTTTCGCCGAGACCTCTTGGGGCCTCATGGGTGCCTCAGGGGCGCCTCTTGGGGCCTCTTGGGGGTCTCTTGGGGGCCTCTTGGGGGTATCTTGGGGGCCTCTTTGGGGCCGCCTGGAGGAGGATGATATTCTTGGGGGCCTTTATGGTTTCCGCATGTCTCTGAGGGCTCATGGCTGCATCATGAGGCTGCGTCGGACCTTGTTGCAGCAGTCGTGCGGCCATCTTCGGTGTTCTCGGATCATCCTCGCTCGCTCTGAGGGCTTGTGGACTTTCTCGGTTGCAAGAGAACACCATCTTGGCCAGTTTGGAAGCCACGTGGCTGTCTTATGGAATGGGAGCAGTACTGGCGGTCTCGGATTGTATCCTGGGCCAGGTTGGCCGTTGTGGAGGCCACTTTGAATCGTCCGTGGGCTGTACGGGGTCACGCTCGTGGTCTCTTGGGTTGCCGGTGCGTTCTTTTGGAGGCTCTCTGGGCTCGGTGAGGCTGTCGGGAGCGGGAAAGGCAGGAGCGGCAGCATCACTGAACGGCATGGTGAAGATCCCTGCCTAGCTTCCTGGGGGCTTCTTGTGGGGCCCGTCGCCCTCCTCCTCCTCCTCCTCCTCCTTCTCCTTCTCCTTCTCCTTCTCCTTCTCCTCCTTCTCCTCCTTCTCCTCCTCCTCCTCCTTCTTCTTCTCCTCCTCCTCCTCCTCCTCCTCCCACCCGCTCGTCGTTCTTCGCCCCGCCAGAGGCCGAGGTTTCGGAGCTTTGTCACGCCGACAGGGTCGGCGAATTTTGTGAGAAGGCATAGGGGTAGGATGCGGGAGGGAGGGACGGGAGGGGAGAGGAGTGGAGGTTCGAGCAAAGGAAGGAGGGAACGAGAGAGGGGTGGGGGAAGGGGGAGGATAGGATGAAGGATGCATGGGCAGGTTGGGAGGGATAAGGACGGGAAGGGGGAGGAGGAGGGAGGGGAGGGGTGCAGGGGATGGGATGGTGAGAAGTAGCGGGAGGGGAAGGGTGGGAAGGGAGGGAGTTAGAGAGGGGCGAAAGGAAGATGAGAGGAATGAGAAGGCCCAGCGCCGCTCATTTAGGTTTTTGTCCTGCATGCCCAGTGCAGGTGGAAGGAAGTCTTTGTTCAACTGGACAGCAGAACGATGATGCACATTGTTAGATAGACGATCGTGATACTGCTACCACAGAGTTGTACGCGGTGCATGAATTTACCCATTCAGTCCACAGGCGCGAAGTTCAACCAACGGCGTGTTCTTCGAAAGACGACCGAAGCCACGCAGACGGATGTGCCGTATCAGTCAGGTACCCGGGTCGGCCAGGACGGTTCTACAGGAGCTGCTGTTGCTTCCTCTCAGTCGCCGTACGTATGGTAGCGCGGATTGCGATTCTGGGTTGCCCGTCATCGCTGCTTCTCTGACATTTGCGTCCTGGATGCGAAGACTCTGGCGATGGATGGGTGCGCGAATCGTGCTCGTGGTTGTAGCACCGACGTCGGCTTCGTTCTTGGTTCATTGTCCGGGACTTGCTTTGCTGATTCTCTCCCCCCGCAGGAGGCCATCGTGCACGCCCAGCTTCAGTTCCACGATGTCCCAGTCACCGAGAACAACTTCGAGTCTCAGCAGGCTGTCTATGTAATCGCAGCCGTGGCGGAAGAGGCAGTGTGGTTGTTTTGCAGAAGTTATGGTAGCTTACAGGGCCGCGCGGGGTGCGCAGGCGGCGTGGGCGCCGAATGGAGAGTCCGATGGCCGCCGCAGCCCAGAGAATTGCCCCGCCGCATCAATTCGCTGTTCCCCCCTCCTCTCCTCTCCTGTTCCTGGAACCCACCTCCAATTCCTCCTCCTTGTCCTCCTCCTCATCCTCCTCCTCCCCCTGCTCCGCTCGTTCTTCTCCTCCTTCTCCTACCCTCCTGCTCATCCTCCTCCTCCTCCTCCTCCTTCTCCTCCCCTCCTCCTCCCGGATGCCTCCTCCTCTTCCTCCTCCTCTTCCTCCTCAACCTCCGCGTGCTCGTTGGAAGCTCAAGGGAGGGCTGCAGCGACTGCGGCAGGGCCCCGCCCCGCCCCGAAAGACTCCCCCCCGGGGGCCAGCTCGGACACCGACACGCTGAACGTGGCGGGGCTTCCTGGCTCCGGCCTGGCCTGAGGGTTCCCCTGGCCTGGACGATGCTCGGCGTCGGACAGGGGTGCCCGGCACGAGCTCGCCGACGCAGCGCATCATACCGAGCGCGTTCCACTGCTCGCAACGTGCCTAATCGCAGGCGTTCGAACAAAGACACACTTTCGCCTCGATGCAATAGATTATAGATCCCCCTCGGCGGATCCGGGCCATCTGCGAGTAGTTGCTTTGCGAGCAGTGGAACGCGCTTGTCTGTCGGCCCTCCGTTGGTGCGGAAGGCCATCCTCGACGGGCCTCTCGGGCGCGCCCTCGCCTGGCCGGCAGGGCGCGAGGCCCGCCGCTGGCTGCGCGCCAGCCGAGTCCTGGGAGCAGCTGGGGCTTGGGAGAGCCAATGCTCACCGAGTGCGTTCCTCTGCTCGCAAAGTGCCTACTCGCAGATGTCCGAAACACAGATGTTTGCCTCGATGGGATTTATCGTAGAGCCCCCGCGGCGGATCCAGGCCATCTGCGAGTAGTCACTAAGCGAATAGTGGAACGCGCTCGTTCAAAGGCCGCCCAGATGCCGTGCGATCCGGAGCCTCATGTTCTCCGTCCCGACGTCGCCGATGCATCGTGGATGCACCTGCAATGCGGTGCGATCGCCCGACCCCATCGACAGGGTTAAGTCGGCCTGTCCCTCTACAGGAGGAATATTCAAAAATGTTCAATCAAAAGTCTGAGGACGTTTTCATTTTTTTGGCAGTTCTTGATTATTTGTTTGACAATTTTTTATGTTTCGTCCAAAATCCGCCTGCAGGGGGGACATGCCCGACATAACTATAGGGGAGCGAACAATGACATGAAGGTAGAAGACTCGGAGGTCTGCGCGGATTGCTCGGATCGGCGCTGGGACCCCCTGGCGGCCCCTCCGGCGCCGCCCCTGGCGCGCTGCGCGCGTCAGGGAGGGGGGTCCAGCGTGGACCCGAGAAATCCGCGCGGACCTCCGAGTTCTTATGTTTATGGCTTTCTTCGTTCCCCTAAGTCTGTTCCAAGCCCATTTGGGCGGCCGAGGGCTGCTGCATGCAGCATATCTGGCTTTGCCCTCGCCGCCCACCGCGTTCCTCGCTCTATGGCCGCCGTTGCGACCAGCGGGTTCGCTACCTCGCCTTTGCTGCCCACCCCCTTTCGTCTGGCCCGAGCTCGGGGAAACGCAAGACTCGAGCAAGCCGGAGCTCGGGTTTGCCGACGTTTTTTGACGAGCGCGTCCTGGATTTTGAGGGTCCGGTTTTCGTGGGATGTCTGCAGCGGGAGCTCGCGTCAATTTTCACATGGCGTCTCGTCATCTTCATGAAGGCCCCGTCAGGCCAACCCGAGTCCCCCGTATCCGAGTCTTACGTCACCCCGACGATAGGCTGGGCGTCCCTGAGACGCAGCTCTGAGCCAGCACACGTGAACGACGTAAGAAAACGGGTCCGACTGCGCCGACGTTGGCGCGTAAGCTCCTCGCGGAAGGGTGCGCGTAAGCGCCATCGTTTCAAAAGTAGCGGCCTGTCTGGCGGCCCGCGTAAGTCTCGACATAAGGTCGCTATGCCATCTCGCGTAAGACCCGTTTCTTTTCGTCGCTCACGTGTTGCGAGACTGGAGTCGATCGATTGGTCGAGGACCGCGTCTTGATTTGTCCTGAAATCTCCGGGGATCGGGGTCACCTGTGGCTGCCCGCATCTCTTAAACGACTTTTGCCTTTGCAAGCCCTACAGGGCAGAGTAGCCAACCAAACTGCAAGGTATTTTTAGAGGATTTCTGGAGGATTTCATCTGTTCATGGAGGTTTGCGGGTGAGGAGGGAGGGATGGAGGTAGGGAGGGAGGGAGGGAACGAGGGAGGGAGGGAGGCGGGAGGAGGAGGAGGAGGAGGAGGAGGAGGAGGAGGAGGAGGAGGAGGAGGAGGAGGAGGAGGAGGAGGAGGAGGAGGAGGAGGAGGAGGAGGGCTGTGCACGATTCAATCGTTCCAATGATGCATGCCGACATCTGCGCGTCATATCGGTCGATTTGTTACGTACCGCAAACGGCGAGCCCCGACCCGATCGATTTTTTGATGAAGGTCAGCCTTCGGGTATAGAAATGGTTTTGGGTCGTGAACTACGGGGCCGACAGCCTTGCAATTTCCAGGTGCCCGACGGACACGAGGCAGACGACGAGCAGGAAGACGCATGGGGACCACCGACATCTGCCCCAGTACTCGGCTCCAGGAAGCTCGTTGGGCTCATCCGCTAGCCCTGCACGCAGCGCAGCCTCCTCCTCCTCCTTCTCCTCCCTCCTCCCTCCCTCCTCCCTCCTCCCTCCTTCCTCCCTCCTCCTCCTTCTCCGCCTTCTCCTCCTCCTCCTCCTCCTCCTCCTGCTCCTCCTCCTGCTCCTCCTCCTGCTAACGCGGGCTGGAGCTGAGGACGAGCATTCGGGGCACCGCGGGGGGCCACGGGCCCAGCGAGGCGGAATGGGGGGCGGACCAGCCGCTTCCGTCGACACCGCGCTGCTTCTGGCCCGAGCCTGCAGGGCCGCCCAAGCTGCTACTGCAGCCTCCTCGTGGCTCGCGGGATGGCTCGGCGACGATGGAGGATGCACGAACCCATATCCCCGACGTCAGGATTTTCTGTCATGGCGTCGACCCCCCGAGGTCCCGACCCATTCCCCGGGACCGGCTCTTCATCCCGAGTCCTGCCTTGACGGTCCCGAGGGCTGGCGAGGACCCCAGAGGCCGAACATAAGCGAAGCACCTCCCCGTCGGGATCTCTTCGCGGCGCGAGGGGGCCTGGGCAGCGAGTGTCCGCCGGCAGCCACCGCTGCTGACGTGCCAGAGATGCTTGAGACGAGGTCGATATCTTAAACATACCCTTACCCGGGGTCGGCCTGGGTGAAAAGGGCCGCCCGCTGGATTGGGCGCTTGCCACTGCGCCCGATCAGCCTGCCACGTACGCGCTGTCAGCATCCGCGCGTCAGGACGCAACGACACGCTGAACGGCTGGTTGCCTGATTGCAGCGACATGCCCTGGTTTGCGTCAGGGGCGTCTGGGGGCATCGGGGGTGTCCGCGGGGTTTAGAACAGCATTGGGGTGGTGCCATTCTGGAACGGGCACCACCACTCCGTTGCGTTTGGGCCTGCCCGCAGGAGCGTCGTTGCAATCTCGCGCTCCCCCAGGGGCCGCTGCGGCCGCGTTCGGGAGCGCTGTCGGGAGCCGCGCGTGCGACCGAGAGCGATTTCACCAAACGCCACCTCGACTAGTTACGGGTGCGTGTCTGGGAGTACCATCAACGCGCGTCGGCGACTGTGCCCCCCGACACGTACCCAGAACTAGCTGGGGTGACGCTGGGCGGGTTTTCTTGGGAGCAGCCTCTGGCGACCGCGCCTGGCGAGCGGGGCCCTAGGCGTTTGGGGCGAGCGCGGGATTGCAGCGGCGCCCCGCATTTTGCGCGTCGAGCCCTAAA